ACATACCGAACAGCCCTTACCTAATATGTACACACCCAAAAAAGGGCTTAGACGAGTAGGACCAATCAGCGCGCTCGTTCAAAATCTGAACGAATATTTAGACTCCAGACGCTACATATGTGTTCAAGTCCAGACCCAGTTATAGAGTTTGCGAATATACTACTGGGGATGGTACCCAGGCTATGTTGGTGCATAGTGACAAGAGTAAATTTCAGAAGGAAACCATTTTCATACACAGTCAAACCTTAAGTGAGCGAGCTTCTAAAACCTACTTCTATCCCCCAAAGGAACACCTTTATCAAATTTTCTTGTACTGGATTGTAAAGAAAATTTTCTGGGCTTACCCCAAAAGGTGTTCCTTTGTGTTTGCCAGTCAAGCCTCGTCTGACACCAATGTGCCTTTGTACAAAGAAGTGCTTATAGGTTGGACCACTTCTTTCCACCTAAAGGACAAAACCATTCAGAGTTTTCTACCCGAAGAATTGACTTTTCTTCCAATATAAACCAGGCAACTTCTCGAAATAACTATAAAATCTAAGCTAAGTTGCTGAAAAAAAATCACTCACTCAGTACTCAGTGAAAAACAAAAAAACTGAAGAAGAAAAAAACCTACATGCGAGTTCTGGTACAGAGGTAGAGGCTCTGGTCTGGGTGGGAGGTCAACGCCCTCTGGGTTCTTGTTCTGTAGTCGCAACGAGCGTGGTCGTGGCGGCAGGGGCAACCTTGACTCATACCTGAAAAATTCACAGCGTACACAGTCAAAAATACAGTAAAACTAGAAAGGTAACATTTGCAAAGCAAATGCATAATGTTTACATTCACATATAATCTGCTCAGTTAATTCTTACTCAAAGACATTCATGTATATGGTCAGACAGGAGTATAAATCCCTCCTACTATAAAATTGCAACATGATGTAACCCAACACTAGTTACTATGGTGACAGACAGTCTGGTTCAGGTCATTGACCTTTTTGGTTTGAAGAAGAAGAAGAAGAAGAAGAAGAGGAAACAGATGTGTAAGTAGGAACAAAACTTACTGCTTTTTCACCTTCAGACCCCTCGGTTGTGCAGACTTCTTGGCAGAGGTAGAGACTTCGCTAAGGTCGTTCTTGGCTGACGCAAGGTCGATGCTTTCGAAGAACGCTGCATTTTCCTTGATGTTTTGCAGACGTTTTTTCTCGTACTCAGACATGTAGTGCCCAGCCTAGTAACCAAGAAAATGTTCCTATCAGCCTGCCAAGGTAGCCGTTAGGGCACCAAATTTGTAGAGACTATGTAGTCAGGCAGCAAGGAGAAGGTTAAGACAGGGCTCGAAATACCCGGTGGCGCACTGGCGCGGCGCCACCTGATTTTGCTTGGCGCCACTTATTCCTAAACTCAGGTGGCGCAGCGCGCCACCTATAATTTGCGTGGATCGAGCCGCTAATCGCATGGATCGGGCCCCATTGTCGGCACAATCTTGTGAATTGTCGATGAATTGTCGATCTCGCCATGACGCCACAAAGAAAACGTTCTCATTGGTAGAAAATCAGACACCTCGCTGGCGTTTCACAACACAATTTTCATGTAAACAACTCCGACTGTCCTTGTTTACATGCAAAGCGCGCCGATACAAAATCCTGCCGGCCGCCCGACCGACCGCATGCGACGCTAAGTTTTCGGCGGCTCGGCGGAAAAATAATCCATCCCCAGAAGAAATTTTACGCATGAAAATAACAACTACAAGTTGTTTTCGTCGTTATATGAGTTTCTGAGGCCGTAAAATGTTAAAACGGTTGAAATTTGTCGGAAAAAACAGCTCGAAAGACAGAATGAAAATGGCCGACGCTGCTTCCAACAATGTGGTCAAAGGTGAAGATAGCATCCAAGCGTCCAAGATACATGTACTAGTATTACACGCATAGAAAAAAAATTTTTACGGTCAACGACAGAAATAAAAATTCACTCGTATTTTTAAAAGGTTAATTTGTAAACATTACCGTGAAATTTTCCGAATTTATTGGTTTCTAGTGTCAGAATATAATGTTGTTTCTATGAATGTGCGGTTGGATGCTGTGGGGGCTTTTACAATTGGGAGAATCAGATATTAAGAGCATGCTTTCTTTCTTTCTTACTTCCTTTATTGAGTGTCTCTAAAATTTTTTTAGTATGAGTTTATAGACATAATCACATTGTTATTTGTTCAGCTGTGTCAATACGTGATTTTGTTTGGGAAATATGATTGGGTTAAAAAGTTTGGTATATATTAATTATGTCCGTAACACCTTAGGAATACTTGCTCCAAGTTCCAGGTAATAAGTACATGTACAATTTGTATCATGTATTTTTCACTTGTTGAACTTGTGGAAGCACCGTTGGCCCCCGGTTAGGGGTCATCCGGGGAACCTATGCCCAATTTTTTTTTTAATCAAGGGAGCTAATACCATTTTTTATTAGATTTTGAAGATTTGTCCGGGGGGGTATGTTTATTCCGGGGGGTATGTTTATTTGGCAGATGAGAGTAACATTATCCTTGTGCAAACGAAGAACATGGCGCACGTAACACCACCCGCATAAGTGTGCCGCCATGTAGAGGCGTGGCATTCCCACGGCGGCAGCCCTGTGATGAAGTGATGTAAAGGTGGCATTCTTTATTAAAACATTGTTGTTTGAGAGCTTTTGTGTTCTTTACATTACTTTATTTTATAACATAAAACTTAAGTAGTTAACTAGAAGAAAACGTAATAGATATAAGTAGCAGATTTGAAGAAAATGATAACTTGGAAGTGTTGCCACTTGAATACTGATGGCGCCACCTGGCTTTTGACTCAGGTGGCAACATGCGCCACCTGGCTGAAAAAAGTATTTCGAGCCCTGGGTTAAGATAAATCTGATATGGTGATTTTAACAAGTTAATTAGCAATTGAAAATTAGGGACACTTTTACAACCTCTTACTTAGAAATTTAATATATGTAAACTCCTATACAAATACTTAATCACAAGTTAGCTAGATGTATAACTTAAAAAAATTGTTGACCAAACTTGTTAAGGTACAGGAACTAATCTAGATATCTAAACCTTGAAGATTTTTAAGCTTAAGTACATGCTGATTTGTGCCAAAGCAAAAAGGCCGGGACAAGTGCAATATTGAGGTGGGTACAACATTGCCACCTATCACGACCTTCTTGTCATGACAAATTTCTCAGTGCAGTCGCCCCTCAGCAATACCTCTGGAGCCGCATAGGGGCAACTAGATGATGGTTGACTCAAGGAATGAATCCACTGTCAGGGCTCGAAATACTGGGTGCATGTGCACCTTTGTGCACCCAAAATTGGAGCTGTGCACCCAATTTTTTTCTGTGGGTGCACTAATGCACCCAAATATTTTTGCATTTTGTAAGTGTCAGAAAATCTTTGTTGTAGTACTTGTTGTTGATTTTGAAGTTAGCTCCCATTTCAGATTTAATCTCAGAAGAGGAGCAGTAAGATCTGTAATTAGGTTTTGTTTTACATGGTGCACCCTAAAAATTTTTCTGTGCACCTAATATTTTAGGTTGGGTGCACCAGTGCACCTATTCCCAAAAATGAATTTCGAGCCCTGACTGTACTTTATCGAGCTCTGTTGTTGAACAGTTACCGAAATGTTGTCCCAAAAAAAACCCGTCCTGAATAGCTAAGACCCCAGTGAACAATGATGAAAGTTGTTAAGAGGCAGTACAGGGTAGTCAGTAGATTTTTGCCCAATCAGAAAGGCCGGGACAAGTGCAATACTGACATGACATCCAGCATTGCCACCAATCCTGGCCTGTCTGACAAGGCCATGTTTTATAAAGTGTGTAGCTTCATCTCATTGGAGGATTTTTGGAGTTTGTTGTACTACTCGAGCCTCTAATTATATTGACAATAATCCAAATTATTTTTATTGGCTTGAATAAAACTGTATCAATCTTTCTAGTTCTACACATTGTTAGCAAGCAGAGTGGGGAGCTGCTTTTTTCAAGTTTAAATCAATCAATCAACCAATCGATCAAAATGGTTAATTGCTAAGTTTAAAGTTACCCAAGTACAAAAAACACACTTACTGCAGAGTTTGGGACGTCATCATCCTCTGAATCACTGTCCAGGTTCGCTCCGATAATTTCAACATCCTTCCCAGAGTCCTTTGCAGCTGCTTTTGCTTTCCCAGCAGTCTTCTTAGGCTTGGCAACTTTCTTGGGCTTAGTAGCCTTCTTCTGATTTTGAATCAGAACAGAAACAGTACAGCACATGTTAAGGGTACATATAATAGCCTTCTTATATGTTTCAATTCAAATGTTTCGAACTAAAACAGTTATTTCAAGCTGTTGCTAGCAAGCCCTTTTCCATGATTTTTGCAAAAGAATTTTTAAAAACATTTTAGTAGTTTAGTTACTTTTACAGGGAAAATACTTCAAAGATCAAAGATGATTGGTTTCAAAGAGCTTCTTGGCATAAAGATTTTAAGCAAAATTTATTGTGCGAAATTACACACACACACATACATACATACCTACATACACACACACACACACACACACACACACAAGCTCTGCCAAATATACAATAGTCTTGGCAAAGGTACAAATCTATACATACTCTTTTGACTGGACCTGTAGCTCTCCATTCTTCCCCACTACTACTACTAGACTCCTCACTGCTCAACTTCTTCTCATCTTTGGACATTTCCTCCTCACTGGACCACTCCTCTTCACTCGAGAACTCATCTTCTTCTTCTTCTTCCTCATCACTAGAGATGATTTTTCTACTCTTGGAGAAAAGGACTTTCTGGGCATCCCTGGGGGGCTTCTTGCTAGCTGGTGTTTCTTTGCGTTTGGATGCTCTCACAGCTCTTTGCTTCAGCTGGACAAATAGAAGACAAACAGATGCCCAGCTGAGCTACTTTTCTTTAGAAACCACTGTAGATTCAATTATTTTGCGGGACTTAAAATTCTTGACACAATTAAAGTCAAGACAATTCATGGGTTCCTTTGACATCACTGTTGAAGTAACCAAAGAACAAAGAATAAAAATGCTGTGGAAATTTCAATATTTACAGTAGTGCAAATCTCTGAGATAATACACAGACGAATGCAAATACACAATAGAGGTCTGTTTGGCAAGAAAACATAAAAGGGTTTTTGTTCTTACAATCCTTTTGGTATCTAACAAATACACAGACTTATAAGTTATTAGATATTGTTCTAACTCTAAAACTGTAAATATATTGAAGTGTGCTTTCACATATACTTTCGAGATGTCAAATGCTCCCACATTGGTGCTGGAATATGTAAATCAACTTCATTCATTGGTACTAATTCAACCTTCTTTGTCCCTCCCAAAGAAAAATTTGCATGTTATGAAACCTATCTGCATTGTCTTCTATTGGTGTGCAGTCACACATTAAAGTATGGCAACTTTCATGAGTAAAAACAGCCTTCAGTTAGAATCATCAACTTTAACAAAAGTGCTCGATATATCGAAGTAAATTCTAAGTGCTAACAATCGAAAAGTTAAACTATATAGGAAAATGAAGCATTGAAAAAACACACAAATACAGTACCTTAGAGAGGGGAACAGAGTCACTGCTTGCAGTAGAATACTTGGAAGGACTCTTGTCACTCAAGTTGTCAACAATGACTACTTCAACCTGTAGTAATAGAAGAAAATCTGTTCTGAAAACCTTCTCATTGATTCAAACAATGACCTGCAAAATAAGTGCAGTAGTTTCTGATCAAAATTGATGATTTTGTGGGCAAAAACAACAGTGTGTATTTGTTTTTGTCAAATTTCCTGACTTTTGTCAACACCACATCAGAATCATTTGCTTTTAGATGTCCACTCTTTTAAATTAGAGTACTTTGCAAACAAAGACTTGTGAGAATAGCATACAAACTTTGTGCTTGAATACATAAACATGAATACATTTCTTGAGAAAAATACGTTGCAAAAAAATTGTGCCTTTTCAAAGCGAAGAATTACTACACATCGAGTCCTGTTTACATGCCATTAGATTATTAATTAATATGAAAAATTCCAGTACATAAAGTAAATATGCCCAAGCCCTCCTCCCTACCCTTGCACTGTTTCAAAAGATGATTAACATATTCATAACCCAGATCCAGAACTATGCTCGAATATTCATGATCTTTAGAGATCAAAGACTCAGTTTCCTACCAATTTTTACTCTTTCAAATAATTTATGTCCACAACTTAACCAAAATGCTGGCTGACGGACAAAGAAAGAGACGTAAACAAAAGGCTTACGTCAAAGATCAACAAAAGACTGTGCCGCTTGAAATTCTATCCCTTTTGCAACTCCCTTTTGGAAAGAGTGGCCAAACTACAAACGACTTCTAGCGGTTGAAACTCATCACAACAAGCCACGAAAATTATTATGCTCCCGTCCGCTACTCTTTAAACTAAAAACACAGCCAAGCTTCTTTCAGGATAATTACTCAGAAGATTGTAAATTAATTCTTTCACGAGGTGACAGAAATTTTGGGGCACGGCGTGCATGGATGCAAATCTCGGCTTTTCTCTAAATTTCTTCGCCGGCAAAAATTCCACTAATTCTGGGACCCAGCCTTCAAAAATCGTCACGGAATCAAACTCCTACATTACCTGGTTCTTTCTTGAACATTTCCACGCCAGTGGAGGCCGGCCATGAAGCAAAATTTGCGAAAATATGCAACAAGTTCTGGAGAACTTTTTGTCCCAAACGAGGATAGGTCGCCATCTTGAGATTAGTGAAGTGAAAGGGGGATACCACTACACCGTATAAAAGGATCGAAAAAATAACTCCAGCGTATATCTATCTTCTAGACAAACACTTTTCAACGAAATAATCATAATTCTCTTAATGAAAATATTTTTTGGTATCTACAAGGTTATTCTGATCAGTTATGAAACATTATGAAAATTATCATCATACTCCAATCCCCTATCAGACCCCTGTAGTGAACTTGTATGACCTCTCAAATTTCAGGGGCGCCAGTGAGGGGGAACAGGCTGCATCGCCCGATTTCGCGCCAAATGCGTCCGAATTCTCCTAAAATCACTCACCTTTGGCTGCTTGGATGATCTAGGAGGCTTCCTGTCGTTGCTAGAGAGTGATCGTTTGCTTCTGATCGGCATTTTGTCCGATAATACGCGAGATTTTCTAGGTGAAATGGTCCCAAACACACGCCTCGCTTTCCCGCCAACTACTTTATATAACTTTGGAGGGCCCAGGAACGTGAATATTCAAAGGCTCCCACTGTTATACAACTCACATGTATTGTATTCAGATTCCCGGGAAAGGTCACTCGGAAATGGAATAATTCATTTTGTTCATAGGGCATACTGCAACGATATTGTTATAAAAGTATATTTTATCATTCGATTTAGTATGAAAGTCGTCAATTCAAGTATATTTTATTATTTAAATTAATAGTTACATACATTGGATGAAGATATTTTTGCTATGCTCTGAGATTGAAATAAAATGATAAAATTGCTTACAGTGTGTACCCTCCCAAATATGGCACTCATTATGACTGGGCTTGGGCCACAGCAAGTAATTTTTATGGATGACATCAACCCGCGTATTAATTTTCGCCTGATTTGTTTGGGGAAAAAAGAAATTTTGCTTCCCTCTGACAGTGGTCAACATGCCGAAAGTGGGCAAATATGTCGGTTGCCATGCCGGAATGTGGATGACAGATAAATGATATATCATAAATATGAAAAGAAGAGACGGTCTGAGAGAGGATGCCATCCAAAAAATGTATTTGTCGTGGCCTTTATAGTTATAGTAATAAAGTTGTCTGGAATCTCTGCTAGCCAAATAAAGCTTACTTGTAGAAATCTAGAAATATTGGCAGACACTATAAAGTCAGTCTTTATCTAGGTGACACGTATCTGTATGTTCTCAGATGTGAACTTCCCTCATACACAAATGGCTTTTGAACTGTCCTTTGAAGGCTAGAAGAAACTAGTTAATGAACACAAAATCTAGCTTTCTACAGGCATATATGTTATGTAAATAGATACTTCATTTTCATGTTATGTTACTACTTTATCAGTTCTTTGATTCATATATAATGTATATGCAGTTCTTCATAACCTCATTTATAACTTCATTTAGAGGCGCAGCTCCACAATCATAGCCTGGGTACCATCCTGGTTAGTTTACGTCCGCTCCTACAGTCGCTACATGGTGGTAGCGACTGTAGGAGCGGACGTAAACTAACCAGGATGGTACCCAGGCTACCACAATCATCAAGCAGATGTAGAGTTTGGATCAGAGTCTTTGAGGCCGTTTAATAAAACTATTGGATTATGAAATGAAGACTAACCTTCCCTTCTAACACTGGAATGGCTTGGGACTTACCCCAAATTTTCGGCTGACTCTGTCAACCTTGTTCACGGAATAAACCCGTCTACTCTTCAATGGAACGTGACGTCAGAGACACGTGACCGTAGTAGCGGGCCAGATAACTTGTGTCGCCCCCCGTCTCTGTTCAGGGTAGGTCTGTGAGCTCTAATATCCAGTGTTGGCAGAGAAAGTTTAGTCTCTATTTCATAGTGTACCAACACAGATGAACTTTCATGCTACAAAACAAGAGGAGTCGTGTATAGGCTAGGCCAGTAGCGATCTTCTGCAGTTCTTCATAACATCACGAGGGGGTGCTATAGTATGGCTAAGAAATGCTACATATTACAGACGGCATGCTGCACTTGTCTTCCTTCCCCACCGGTTTGGCGACCGTGAGGCACTTGTGGCCGCGCCTCAGTATCGGCATCTCGGCCGCGACTCGCCATTTGTCCGACTCTGGGTAGTAGCACTCCACATTCTGGGTAAGAAAGAAAACAAAATAAAGGGAGAACAATGCTGCAAAACGTTTGTTACTTTTGATTAAAGTCATATTTTTTATAATGCTCGAGTACTGACAGCATAAGTTTTGTAATGACTTGGTTTGTGGGAAGGTGTTCGAAAAATGATGGGAAAGTATGCCTCCTGGCGGCTTTCTATGGTACAGCAACAGCTTTTTTTTGGGGGGGGGGCGGTATTTCATAATCTATTTTCTGATTTATTTCATCTTATGACAACTACGTCACCCCTGCCATGGAATATGGCGTAACGTCGAATAGCAGAGCATTCGGCTTAGAACCAAGAGGTCCCGGGTTCAAATCCTGCCAAGTCACCAACGTTGTGCCCTTGGGAAAGGCACTAACACGACTTTCCTTACTTCACTCAGGTGAAAATGATATGCCAGAATGATCAGTGGGCATTAAAGGAAAACCAAACAATATTTACCTCAGTGAGATACCTCTGACGGGACCGGCCCCCGGAGATGAAGATTTTCCCGTGTATGACCGTCATGGCGCCCATCCAGTGGTCCCCGTTCAACGGCGCTACTTTCACCCACTCGTGTCTCTCTGGGTCGTACGCGTCAACCTACATGTGGGGAGAAGAGGAGAGAATGATACGCTGGGAGCCATACTAATATGGGTCGTTAGCTGATTCCCGTCGGTAGCCAAGGGCACTACCCCCGCCTATGAAATTACCGCTACGGGGGAGATGAGCCCGAGGGAGTATAGGGCCGACCACTCCTCGTAGCGGTAGATAGGCGGGCGAAGTCCTCTTGGCTACTTGAAGGGAAACGATTAACGGTCCGATACTAGTCTGGCTCCAAGGATAGATACGGTATAGTATCACCTATAGGGCCATGCATGTAGCCTGGGTTCCATCCTGGTTAGTTTACGTCCGCTCCCACAGTCGCTACCACCAACCACCAACCACGACTGTGGGAGCGGACGTAAACTAACCAGGATGGAACCCAGGCTACCATGCATGCACCACGAGTCCAATATGTACGTGTTTCACATGGTTCGGTTGAGCAAATAACATCAAGAAAATCGGAGAGTTGAAGGGGGGCTATAATTCAGTATACCAGGGTTCTAGGTTGTCCATCTATCCGATCCATGTGATCATACGGTGCTATCTGTGATTATCGACAATGCTGTACCGTACGGTGCACACACAACTGATAACTTCATTGCTAGAAAAAGTCGTAAGGGGGCGCGGCATACCTTACTGCCGCTCATGCCGATGAAGTAGATGAGGTTCTTGACGCAGATGGTGTGGAAACTCTTCCTCCTGGGTTTGAAGGAAGGCGTGTACTCCTCCTGCCACGTGTCAGTCTTAGGGTCCAGACTCAGAATCTCCACCTCGTCTGACGTGGCCGCAAAACCCATGGCGAACAACCTGAAGAAAAGAAAGTTGGGGTGTACGTTATTAAGTAACGGTATAGCAACTTTAGTCGCAGGTCGTCGTAAGATTTTGGTGACGTGTTAGGGAGGAGCCTAATGGTACAGTATTGTGTGCAATTTGCAAGAATTCTAGGAATTGTACAGAAATTTTGTCCACAGGCATGGAATGTCCACAGGAATGTAACAGCACAAACCTGCTGTTACAAACTGCTACACTGAATTTCTTCAGTGTTTTCGGTGGCGGGTCCACAGTTGTCCAGGTGTTGTAGTTTGGGTTGTACTTCTCACACGGTTGTTGATGGCTCAACTCCCTGTCGTTGCCAAGAACGTAAATCTGACCGTTCAGCGCAACGACTCTGAAATACGCCTGTCTGTACTGCGTCATGGGCGGTAACGTCTTCCACGTGTCGTTGACGACGCTGTAGCGCCACGCTTGGCAGAATTTCACCGGCTCCTCCGCCGTGGACACCACGTAGATGTCGCTGTCGATGGCGTCCGCCATCAGACACGTGTCGTACATGCCGGGCGGAAGTCTCGCGAGAATTCCCCACCTGCGCGAGACTGGGTTGTACCACTCCATCGCCATGACGACGTGAAGCTTCATGGGATCGTCCTCGTACCCAGAACCCCCTAGGATCACCATGACGTCTTCCATACACGCCGTCTTCTTGTGATCCCAGAGACGCTTCTTGACTTGTGCTGAGAGAGCTAACGCCCTGTTGGATCTTAAGATCAAAGACTCGGAGTCTAAGTTAGTCATGATGTAACCCTCGTTCAACAAATGCAGTCCGACATTTTCTAACAACTCAGGTAGATGCTGTTGTCTGCTTTGAGTGTCATGTCTGACCCATCTTATAACCGCTTCGTAGATACTCTCTCTATTTAGAGTCAGGCGTTTGTCAGTGATAAGGGAAATCAGCATATGGCAGGGGAGCAAAACAAAGTCTTCACTCTCGCTCGCCCAGAAGAAGTTTTGCAGGATGTAAGATCTTGCCTTCTCTTCTAGATCTGTACAGGCGTACATGTCGCTTAGACTTAGGACCGCTACGCAGTTTGAATTGTCCAACTGCCTTTCGAGAAATTTGCAGCATGCTTTTGTCAGAGATCTCACTTGAAACAGACACGCAGCGTGTAACGCGGTTTCTACTAGTTCTTCGGTTAGGACCGCTTTTCCGCTGTACACGAACTCAGTCACAAGTTTGAGGGTCTGTGTGGGGACTTCTTGTATGTCTATACTCTGTTTGCCTTCTTCCTGAAACTCTCTGAGAAACATGGCGTCAAAATACGGACAGGCGGCCGCAAGAACCACTCTGTGACCCTCCACGATCCCTCCGTCGTCCGAGCACAGAGATATGTTGGCGTATTTGCCGCACAGTCGCAAATCGCCCAGCGCCTGCAGTACCAGCTTCTGATCCCTGGCATCGCTGCAGGAACCAAACTCACCGGAAATGACGTCAGCGGTCCAATGGTCTTCGAAAATATACTTTACGATACAGTTGACGTCATTGGCTACCTTGGGTTCTTCCCGAAGACGACGTAAGCCGTCGAGGACCAGTTGACCGTGGCCTTCGTCTTCGAAGTCCATGTTCCCGTTCGGGAGAAATGTGCATACGAGCCCGCCTTCCACGATTACGTTTGGCGGGAGGGCAGGAACTTTAGGGGTGTGCCCCGGCAGAAGGGCGGGAAGGTAGCGACTCATTTTCACCTGAAACTGACTGAGAAGATGTTTTAATTATAATTTTGAATATACATAATTATTATAGTCTGGTAGACCCACATCACTAAAAAAGAAAAACTTCAACAATGACAAATAGGGTCGGTAGGTCGGGAGTGTCTTTTTTCTTTAATTTTAAATTTTGGCTGAAGTGATCCAAGAAATACTGTTAAACAATGAAAACTGAAATGCACCCCACGAAGATTAATGACTGAATCAAATTATTCTTCTACAGTAACTGCAGCATGATCACGACCAGCAATATATTATTATTGTTTTCAGAATCACCAACTAAGTATTCGTACTGCTGGTATTACTATTTATGTTAACGTTGCACATGCTGGTTGTAGTGTTACTAGAAAACCCAACCGGCGTGTCGTGTGTTAAACAAAACCAAAATACGTACTGAGACAGGACTTACCCCTCCTTATGTCCGTTTGTAGTGAGAGATATAAACAGATTTGACCCCCTGTGACCCTTTAGGCAATGTTGCGGCTCCATAACCCGTATTTGGTAGCCTTAAATATAGCACGGGCCCTCTGAGATGGGGAGGGGGGCATGTGTACATTTGTTTAAACACCTCTCACGAGACTGTGATTGCCTTAAACAAAGAAGACTTAGTTTGTTTTTGTCTTAATGTTTTTCCTCCTCTTCGTCGGCCAGATGATCATTTTGATAGGCGTTGACAATGGCGATGCAAAAGCTAGTTCCCATGTGCCACCGTGTGATGTCCCGTGGATAGCCTTTACCAGGCTTCAGAGTCGGCTGAAAAAAGTAGAAATTGGCCGGCCAAATAGACTGATGATATGCCAGGGAGTTGCCAATCTAAGACGTAAATTTGCTATACCCTGTCCCTGGCCCTTTGTTATTTGTCTATTTTGACAATTTCTACTCTTAAAGTTTGTATATATACCCAATTCTGATATACCAAACCTTGGGTACACCATCGCTGTCTTGTATTTCGTTTCGTATGATTTATTAAAAAAACTTACAGAGAAGCCATCAAACTGATATTTTTCTTCGCCTTGACGTTTTCATAACACCAAATTCTTCTCTTATCAGAACAAAGAAGGCCAGTTTGACCTCACACGGACTGAATTCCCCTCTACCCCTACTTTCTTGGACGTCCAAAGTCTTTTCACCCTTTATGAAATGGACATTTATCTTTAAAAACAAACATTGTAAAGAGACACACCCCCAAGCACACCCACGTTAATGATTTAATTGCCCTGACTATAATACCGGCCTAGGTACGAATGTACACGTGTTCAGAGGCTGTCAATGTTCCCAAGTAACGGAGCATCGTGGTTAATTTCAAGTCGGTAAATTTGTGTGCAAGGCAATGGCCATGAGTTTGGGTGACCGGTCAACATTGAGAACACTCTTTTGCATACAAGAAACAGACATGCCTTCAAATATCAGAGTTATCAACTAAGAATTGAGAACTATCGTAGACTGAAACTCCTTGCCACTAAGTACAGTTGGGGCATCATCACTAGAAAGCTTTAAACAACTCCTGCAATTAAATGTGCAAAGATTGAGTGTAACAAGTCGTTCGGTGTGATATAGCCAGCTGCCGCCGCGCCACGTGCCTGCGAAGCTGTTGTCTTACGCCGAATGGCGGTTATACCGGCTATACTGATACAGATTTTATGTAATTAAACATTATCAAACCAACTCTCTGTCTTTCTGTGTGGCATATACATGTATAGTATTCCATATATGTTGGGCTAGCGTACATGTAGAGACAACAGCAGAGATTTAATATATTGGTTCAGAGACAGAAAACTAACCACTAGACTACGTCAGCTACGCTGAAGCTCTTACAGATTCTAAATGGGCATACATGTACAATACAGCAGTTAAAATGCGATTTGTTTCCTCGCCTAGACATTTTCACAACACTTTACATTCTTGGCGGTAGTGAATTCCCCTCTGTCCATACTTTTGTAAGTTCAAAGTCTTTACAAGCTTTATAAAACTAACATTTATTTTCAAAAACCAAACATTATAAAGAGACACACCCCATAACACACCCCCTTTTTTATTACCATAAGAAAAGAAAAGAGACGGTATGGTGCTGAGAGGCTGTCATCAGTGTGCCTAGTAACGGAACATCGCGATTGCTTTGGTGTAGTTGTGTGCGAATGCCAATGCAATGATCATGAGTTTGGGTGACCGGTCAGCATTATGTTGAGAACATTCTTTTTATACACGTACATTTTCCTCAATATGATCTACCTTTCCGCCGTTGTGGAGTATGGTATTCGGATATGCGATGCTAATCAGCTATCTTTCTCTCTTGTGAAGTTTACATTTCATAAAGAAAATAGACAAAAACATCTTCCTCAAATACGTGTATACAGGACCTCTGTCTTTACGTCCCATCCTACATTGTAGATGACGTCCTTAACCGAAGCTAGGTACTCATTTCACCTGAGTCGAGTGAGGAAATAGGTTTGAAGTGTATTTCTATAGGTCACATCATGAGTGCTCGTAAGGGATTCGAACCCATGACCTTTAGATATATTCTCAGGAAGTCAGCAACCCTAACCACAAGACCACCACCTTGCCAGTCTGAAAGATGTCAAGGCAACAGGGACTCAGTACACCTACATGGTCTTGGCACATAGGTACGTAGGCAAGCAGTCAAGCATTATAAACATATCTATCTCCCCAAGACAATTTCAAAACCCTTCCATTGGCAACACAAATATGCCGAGCCGTTATAAACCTGCCAGGTAACATTACATCGCTTTGATACAGTCCTGTACCGGTGGCAATGACCTGGCGTTCAGGTGACCGGTCAGACCATGGAGGTAAAAAGAGACTCCATGGTCAGACCAACAGGGTAAGATTGGGTCCCTTAGTCTTGGTCACAGGGTTGAAATTTCGACATAATCTTTGCTAAACTTTGCAATATATGTGTAATCAATTTGCAACATACACTATGATACCCAATTTTTATAATGAAAAAAAAAAGACAATCAGACAATCACAATGGCCATGAGTTTTGGTAGACGGTCAAAATTAAGAATAATCTTATCCTTTTTTACATTAACTTCTTCAACCTCAATTTTCGTATTTGTAAGCTATTTGGATAGCAGTGATTGTATTAGTATATAACATTATCTTGAGAAGAAGAAAATTGAGTATTGAGATGACCGGTCATCAGAACTCACGAACACAATGGCATCCGTGCATTGATAAAGCTTCATCCGAGCGTTTTTGCGTTACTTAGTACCTTTATGACTTCTCTGAATTTTGTTGCCCCCTACAATGACAGACAGACATTCAAGTCAAAGTATTCAAGTAACGGAACAACGCTTTGTTTCTATTGCAATTTTTCTACAAATGTCAATGACTAAGAGTTTCGGTGACCGGTCAGTATGACTAAGACTCGTATGTATTTCTCTAAATCTACTTCAGATAATTATCGGGTCCGTCTACAATTCCCTTACAACTCTACATTTATACATGTATTATGTCCGGGGTTGTCGTAAAACTGTCAGCCAATAGAACAAGCCGTTTCATTTCAGTTGGGCGTTTCCGCCTGCTACTCTCTTTGATGTCCATTGTCTCCTCACCATTCATAAACCGAGCAAACCATTACAAAACATTAATCTTTGAAGGGCAAACATCTTTAAAAGGCTGCGCGCTATCTTTAATTTACGTCGCAATTCCAACCCGGGGAGTCCAGACTGCGGCTGTAAAGATGTCGAATAATAGATAACATCTTAATCAAGTCTGCAGCAAAGGTCCGTAAGGTCGGCTGACCGGTCAAGGTTGTGGGGCCACTCTTGTTTGCATGTTTTGTTTTTATTTTGCAAATGCTCTTCTTCACAACTTATTGTCAACATTTCGTTTGAGAATGAGAAGAAATGTCCAGTATCAGGGTGAAGTGGCCAAAGTTAGGGTGTCCAAAGTTGTCCAAAGTCACGCCATAGGGCGGTGGCCGCAATTGCAAGTTGTATCTTTGTATCCAGGGTTTTTAATTGACTACCGTGGTAACAATCGCTTCTGGGCCGGCAAGGTCATCTTGACTTCGAATCTGAAGGTTCTGGGTTCGAATCCCTATAGTAGGCCCTATTATTGTGTCCTTGGGAAAGACACTTTACATCCACTTTTCTGCAAAATTAGCTCCCAAACCTGTACCAAACTTACTAGCACGTTGTTGGTCATCGACCTTCGCCAGGTCATGGCTAAGTTGACCCCTGTTCCTGCTTTCTCTTGTTTAGGGTCTCCTTCACCTTTGTGAGCACAGCAAACAAACATTTATCATCGGTTATTGGGCGTCATCAAACGAGAGATCAATAAAGTTGGGAACAATGAATCTTATCTTCCCCACGACGGCGTCAATTGCCTGTACCACAGAGGTATGTACATGTAGTTGTTAACATGTCGCCTTACCACTAATGTCCTACGGCGGGGAAACAATCATCGTGGGACGTCGCCCAATTTTGATGTCGTACGCCATTGTAAAGAGCATATCCCACTTCTGACACCATGTTTCAAGAGATTAATCCATGAGCATTTGTAATCGAATTTTTCCTAGTCTTCATCCAACAAACATATCTGATGATGTCTATATCGATATCTGATGACTGTCATTTACATCAGGGCGCCAGTCCTGATATTGCTCTTATGAAGATCAGAGAATTAGACAGAGATTAGAGAATTTAAGTACGTTGTAACAATTTGTAGGTGGTGGCTACGTGGAGCATTGCATACATGTACGACAATCGCAGTGTTACATGGGGTTAGGCACGTAATGTATACATTTATCTTTATCGTAATATATACCTTTATCTTTAAAAGTGGGAAGGATACAGACTGATGCAATAGATATGCATATACATATGGACCGTTACAAAGTGTGCTATATTCAAATACAATGCCATGATAATACATCACTTCCTATATCCTATCGCTTCCTATAGGGAGCGGCCACATCCGCGTAAGATTTTGAGGAGATTTTAAAGTAGTCTGACAAAAATGACTGGCGACGAGGATCTAAGACAGCCTTTTCCGCAAGAAGGCAGCTTGAATTTTGCAGAATATAAACACGACTAGCACACGAATCGTTTGCCATCGTGCGAAGATCGTAAGACGATATTACGACGAATGCGGACGGGCACATAGGAGGACCAACGCACTACTATATATAGTAGATGTAGTTTTGCACGTTGGCTCTGGTACAAAGGTTAATTGTATCTGTTTGAGACATGTGACATCATTGTACAAAGTCTACGGTAAGTTTGCTATCCAAGACAATACGTCACATCTGGTGGGACCAACGCAGTGCTAGGCGTGGTTTTGTTCCTGATATTTGCTCAGGTACAAAGAACGGAAGCTTGTATGAACTTTAAGGACTCTCACGTGCTCTAAAGGCTATGAAAAGCCTCCAATGTTATCACCTTAGAGACTCACCAAAAGCAAATACACGAAACAAGAACCATTTACGCAATAAGACCAATATAGAGGTTTGCCAAGATTAGCGCCAATGACGGTAATTTATGACATTGAGGGCTATAAAAGACGGGAAGTCACAAGACTTAAGTCAGAAGGAGCGACGAGAAGGCAAGAAACTCAGTCTTACTGTCTTGCGGTTTTCAAAGTTCTCTGTGAAAGGTAAGTTCTGGTTTTTCTTGGCGCTCTTTTTACACTTACGCTGTACGCTAAGCATTTTACCATAATATGCAGGTTTCAACTGATTTCTTTCTTCTTTGATGATATTTCGTTATCTTCAAGTAAAAACGTAGGAGTTTCTTGTTTCTGAATACTAGTAGTTTAATACAGTCTTGCCAATTCCTATCCAGAGTCGACGCATTCTCTTTTCCCCCGTAACTATCACTAAATGCAGTCAAGCGCACCTAGTCTAGTTCTAGCCTCCTCTACCAGGCTTATGGGGGCGGTTGGAAAGAGTAGAAATCGGCCAAATAGAGAGATAGCATCGGCCAAGAAAGTTGGTCTGCTGGAGAGAACAGTTTGCCGCTCTGGGGTGCGGCAAAATGTACTAGTCTAGCGGACCAACTCTCTTGGCCGATGCTATCTCTCTTTTTGACCGATTTCTACTCTTTCCAGCCGCCTCCCGAAGCCTATGCTAGTAGAGGCTAGTCTAGTTCTTGTACGTGCCTAAAGTCAGTAATCTATGCTGATTTTTCCTCAGCTCAGAGCCATGAAGTTTTCCGTGTTGGTGTTGTTGGTTCTGATGGGGACCGGTACTTACTCCATGCCGACCGAAGTCACGGACCAAACCGGCGCACCCGCAAAACCGACCAAGCAACCGGCCAACCAGGTAGGAGGAAGGAAAATTGGTTTTGAAATTCGTTTTTTTATAGACCACATGAAAAAACTGTTGTCACTGCTTATGTTTTTGCCTCTATTCTATATTTAAACTTTGCAGTAACTCTAGAACTTTGTCGCTAGCCTCTACCAGCACGCTTCGGGAGGCGGTTGGAAAGAGTAGAAATTGGCCAGATAGAAACTGTACTATCTAGTAGACCAACACCCTCGGCATGTTATTTGGCCAAATTCTACTCTTTCCAGCCGCTTTCCAGACGATTTGGTATGACTATTGTACATCATTTGATGCAGGACACCGTGGTTGTGGTGGGCCGCATCATGTCCGAGGCTTTCGCCTTTCAAATCGACTTTCACGGACTCGACTGTGAAGTCATCTTCGAGTCCAGTGTGGGCACCGGCATCAAGCGATGCTACGACGGGGTAAGGCGCACCACAGTTTTTCTTCATCCTTATTTTATTCACCGTTTAAACAGTTTTCCTCTCTCTCTAGCTAGTTTATAAAGCTTCTCTGAATACAGGATCTAAAAATGTTCAAATCTCACCTGTTTAGTACCTATGTGAATGGTCATTATGTTATAAAGCTGTCATAATGCATGGTCGCTTCTTGGAGTCACCTCATACTAGTAATACATTACCTTGCTCACTTCGCTCACTCGGTGGTTTATTCGAGTTTCATAGAAAATGACCATGCTTTACGACACCGTCTAAACCTCAGAGCGGGTGTATTATATTTGCCTTATATACTCGAGTCATGCCGCTTTATTTTCTAGTATGCCTTTGCCTAAGTTGTATCTATGGATCTGAGATGTATTTACATGGCTACCTCATCGTTTGCAATTTATGTATAAATGCAGTATTTCTGGTCGCTTTCTAGAGCTGGATCCTGACCTGTTTCGAGCAGCAGAGGCAGTGCTTCGTCACGGGATCTGTGTCGGCCAAGAAAGCTGCAGGAGCTCCTCAGCACAAGGTGAGTGGAAGAAAGAAAGTCATCTCAAACCAGTACAATTTACCAAAGAATCTATCGATCGTACACTAGTTGTGAGAGAAAAACCGATGTTATGTACTGTATATAGAGGTTCACTGTACATGGAAGACCGCCCTATAGCTATCTTTTTTCAATGAATACAGTAAACATGTGATCTATGGGGGGGGGGGATACAAGGTCAGTCACGTTTGGGACCGCATCCTTCCTCTTGCAACGCCACCTTGCGACTGCAGGTCGTGGTCTCATTTGGAAGATCACGAATATGCAAATGAGCATATGCAAAATAGTTCCCTCTTTTGTCCTGAGGAAGGTAGCAGAACGGTTACCGGAACGTTGGTTAGAACGCGGAAGGATTTTTCCTATTATCCCGATGAAACTATCTACAAGTTTTATATGTGGCGTGTTACAGGATAAGGTGACTGTATTGGGGAGGGCCTTCGACACTCCCTTTGCTCTGGAACTCGCTTTCGACGAAGTCCAAGACTGTGAGACCGTCTACGTGTCTGGGAACGGCTCTGACATCAAGCGCTGTTACGACCCGGTATGGATGTAGCGTTACACGTTTTCATTTCATCTTCGTCCGTTCATTCTATGAATGCCCTCCATATAATCTCCAAAATCTCCAAAATGTACAGCGCTGACAACTCTCCAGTATCACTGACGAAAGGTAGTGGATACTACCTGAAACGTCTGACCGTTTTCAAAAATAATATCCAGTTGTATGAGTAACTGGTTTTTGTTGTATCTTATTACCTGGATGCCCAATCTTCACAGACGTTATCTCCAAAATGGCCATGTCATTCATGATATACTGGAAGTTCTGCTGCACTACCATAGAAACTCGCTAGGTTTGTGCTGCATTTTGCCAATGAAACATAACTTTCTACTTATAGCGAGTGTAGACATGAGCCTTTATTCCCTTCCAGGACCTTGGCGTGACTCTGTACTGCTTCGAACAAGTGAACCAGTGCTACCTGACCAGTGTGGATGAGGATGCAGGCATTCACAACGGGGTGTCTTAAGGCCAGGTTAGTGTCACTGTCAAAAAAATTGGTATGTCATCTTGAAGATATCTTAACTATCAAAACTATTATCACTTATTTCAGTTCAAGATCACTAGAAACGAAAAAAAATATCTTTTAATTGATTATCAAGTAAAACAAAGTTAGACCATTGACTAAAAATTGACCAGTATTTCTCCACAGAAGCTATTTATTTTAGAATTTGCGATTGGTCAAAACGTTAATAAAGCCACTTTCTCATTGGTCGAAACGTTAATTGCCATCCTCTCATTGGTTAAACTGTCAACTGTAATAAACAGTCAGGATTAAAATAGATCTTTTGCCTCATAGGTGAAGAAACCAGCGTCTTGGGCCAGAAAGGAAGACTCGACTGAACAGCTCATGGCGACCGCAAGACTATACGACGTTCTGTTGTTCTATGTTTGAACAAATTTAGATTTGCAAGCTTGTTGTGTGGTTTATCTTCAGCTATCTACTTGCGTCTCCAACAAAACGGTTCAAGTAACCATTCAGTAAAAATGTCTACTTCTCATTTGACCGTTCTTATGGACCATTACTCCCAGTATACGACATTACAGGCAAGCTTTTTACACACAACAGAAGAACTGTGCTCGTGGAGTATTAGTTACACTTACAGTCCTATTTATCGTGACATTTTTCAGTTTTTCAGTTTTATTCAGATCCACAATTAGCCTCATAAGAAGCTTTTCTTCCTGTGGTCTGCACATTCATATTTACATACAATATGACATAAAAACTCTCACAAGGAAACTATATTTTGTATCTCATTACCTGGATGTCTAACCTAGGAACTGTTGTTTTTGTATCTATTACGAATAGTAACTTACATGTACAAGGGACAGTCAGGGAGCCGCGAGGTATGGCAGCTGCCCATAGGGACATACAGACAATACAAACATACTAGTATTCAGTCAAGTATTTTTGGTCACAGTGCCATATTAGCTGGGTTTTCTTTCTCACTCTGCCGTGTCATGGTAGCCCTTTACCTTTATACACACGCAAAATTACGTGTCTTACAACTTGTTATTCTGTTGTCTGGCAACCATCCCACACCTATCTTTGTGATCATATAGCTAGGTAACTGAATCCCATCCGGTAAAAATTTCCCGAAGCCGGTGCGCTCACAGACCCCGGCGGGCTCCCGGGAACCGTCACGATGGATGGTATCAGTTCTTCTGTTGCGTGTGTAGAGCGCCAGTACCGCATCGAAACGTTCAGGGTCTATTAGAAGATGTAACTCCTTGTCAACCTCTGCGTGTGCAGTATTACATGTGGCACATGTTGTGACAAACCTTTTCTATGTTGTGCGCTGACAAACACTTCAAGTACTAGTAGTATGGATGTGAAGTTTACATCAGTTTCTCATGCATATTTACAGCTGTCGTCTTTCAATTATTTGTTGAAGCAATAAAAAACTCCTGAAAGGGATTATCGATGTCTCCAAGTACTTTTTATTAGGGCGTTTTCAAAAGGTAATATATGCACATATAATGCACTACTTGTAGGTATAAACTTATATTGGAAGCGTATGGGGACATAGCACACAATAGCCAACTAAAGGGATGTTAAAAAGAATAGTTTTCTAGTTTTGTCCTTTTTTATCTTAATATTCATTGCCTGCATGGACAATTGAGGAATGACAACAACATTGTTTCCAAAGTTCGACCATACATCGATTTATGAGGCGTCGCCAAAAAAACTACAAATTTTCGCAAGGGATTCTGGGGTTGTTTCAAGATGGCTGCGCCCATAGGAAAAAGTCGGGCCGATTCGATTTCAGGTTATTGTGCTTATTTACGCCATACTGTGTTGTCAAATTTCACTGCATCTCTTGTTCAGCAGAATAGAAGTATTGTGATATATCATATAAGTGCTAACACATAACTCTTAAGTGAGTTGTAATGGTTATATTTGGGTAAGAGGGAATGTTGGGAGGGGGGCGTGACCAACTATAAAAGGTGGTCAACACACACTAGCGCTTGCGGTCGGTTCCCCACCAAAACGTCGACTGTCAACCGCTATTATATTAAAATATTACTACGTTGATATATAGTACTAGTGTTGGGCTACAGTGTCAAGTACATACAGTGGGTGTCTGACAGTCATTTGAAGACAAAAAAAAATTATGTTCAAACTATAAGGTTAACGTTAACGTTACTATGATACTACATAATCCCGTAGCAGTCCTGAAAAAGAATTGTTCTCATACTGTCTTCAACCTCCTGCTAACATGCATTTGAGCATGTCTCTTGTCTTATTGGGGCCAATGAAATACACAGACATTCCATCACAATAATTTAAAAAATAAACAAGAAATTCACAGAAAACTGAGGTATGAGATATTTGCTTTGTGTATGCTTGTTTACTTACCTGTTTCTTTAAATCATCCCCAGGCATACATGTATGAAATGTATGAAACTTGCTGATCCTGAGAGTGAGAAATGCTGACCAAGGAAAACTTCAAGAACTTGTGAACTGCCTATAGAATGTATTTTGCATCCTGTATATCAAGACCAAAGTCTATAGATAGGTTATCATCCTACCTGTGGCAACTACAACTAAAACAGAACTTCTCAAAAACATGTGCAAACAGCCAATGGGAGTTCAGAACACATTGGAGGCATTGGAGGACAGAATACATTCCCCACAAGTCTCCCTATTGGTCAGGCAGATGCATATGTACAGGACTTTTGACCAATCAGAGTGCAAGTTCTTCAGCCAATCAGAGATCAGGACCACCATGGAGGATTTTGTTCTTTGGAAGTGATGAATTTTCAGTGGAAGTTCTGAGGAAGCTAAAGGCCAACAATACCAGGTACATTCATGAGAGGAGTCTACAATATACACACATATATATAATATACAATATACAGCACATTTTGCCCTTTGTCAAATTGGTTGGTAAGTTTGTAGACACAGTAAAATCGTTGAAATTAAAATCTAATATTGAAACTTTTTAAATCAAATTCGGCTTTTTTCCCCTCTCAGGACCAAGTCAGCAGACAGAGTTGTGGAAGCATTAGAAGTGGTGTGTTCACCAAAGAGGGTTCCAGTCAGGACATATGCAAATGAGCACCACCTGCCTCTCCACGATTGGCCCCTGCAAGGGTCATGTGACCAGTTTGATGTGGGGGTGGTGGCCTCATTTGGGTTCCTCATCCCGAAGAAGGTCATCAGACTTTTTCCATAGTAAGTGAGAATGATTGTTCTGTGAATATAATAGAATCTGCAGACATAGAATCATCACAATGGAACTCGTTGCCACCAAGCACAGTAGGGCATCATCACTAGAAAGCTTTAAACAACTCCTGCAATTAAATGTGCAAAGATTGAGTGTAACAAGTCGTTCGGTGTGATATAGCTAGATGCCGCCGCGCCGCGTGCCTGTGAAGCTGGTGTGTTATGCCGAAGGGCAGTTATACCGGCTATACTGATACAGATACAGATACAATTCTACCAAATTGGAGTCTCTACCTTGACACAATTATACTAGCATTTCTGTTGAGCTGAATGATGTTGATATACCATTTGCTCTAACTTGCCTGTTTTTGTTTATTTTTTAGTGGCATCCTAAACATCCATCCCAGCTTGCTGCCTCGCTGGCGTGGGGCGTCGCCGGTGTTCCACACGATTCTCCATGGTGATGAGGTCACAGGGGTCACGATCATCCACATCACGCCACAGTACGTTTTAATAACTGTCAAACCAGTGATCACCTCTGTATAAGGCCATTATGGCCACTTTTTGGTGTTCCCTTAGATAAGTGCATTGTCATATGCCATGCATGTTGGGACACTGACAGGAAGTTAGGTCAAAGGTTCCAGAAAGGTCCCAGAAAAGGTTATCACATTTCCTGTCTTTTTTTCTGCTTTTTCACTGCCTTATCCTGTCGCAAGAAATTCACAATGACTCTAAATACTTCCTTGAGCCTAGTAGATGGATGAAATCTTAAATTTCTTTTTCCCTTTGTTGTGTTCAGGTTTGATGTAGGTCCAATCCTACAGCAGGAGTCAGTGCCAGTACCAGACAGATGTCAGGCTGTACAGCTGGGCAGTATGCTGTTTGATAGAGGGGCAGATATGGTAAAATCAGTATGTTGGTAGAATCAAAACTCACATTTGCATGGTTTTCATTGGACATTTCGAAAAAATTATGATTTAGCAGCCTTTTTGGAGACTTTTGTTTATGTGGTAATATATTCTGATATTGATTATGTTGTTATGTGTTTCCTCCTACTAGCTGTTGCAGTGTCTTCGGGATCTTCCAAGAAAATTGGAAAATGCTGTAAAGCAACCTTCTACTGGTGCTACAAATGGTATGTATCAGTATCATAAATGACATTGGTTATGCACATAGTATTACTTAGGATTTTTTTTGAATGAAACTTGCTAATAGTCAAAGTAGGGATATAACTGTAGTTTTTGTCTTTTTTATGCACCATGGCTGCTTCTTTCTCGTTAATGACTCTTGAGCAATTTCAGCACCAAAGTTGTCAGTGGACCAATCCTGGGTGAGGTGGGCGGAGCAAAGCAGTCAGGAGATTGACAGGCTCTACAGGAGTGTCGGTCAAAAGGTAGAGATCTATGGCAATCACTCGATATCTTTTTATTTGCAATCAGATACAGATTCATGCACAGATACAGATTCATATACAGATATACAGATACAGATTTTCCGAGTAGGATGACCGTGTCAGTCCCTACACCTAAGTGAAGGTTACAGTTGACACGGCGGCCTTCGTGTGAATTTGTTTAAGGTGGATAACAGGTCGTGAATCTGAGACCCACACATTTGGGCATGCGTCTTCCCCAGCAGATCCATATCGAGGGATACGTGCTGGTTCCGGTTTGGAAGCTTGCAGCGAGCTGCTGGATGACTTGGTTACGCTCAAGGTCCGCCTTGACTACGCCAGCCCACCTGGCGCTGCTCTCGTCCGGCAGCTGAAGACAACTGCCGTTGGAGACTTGTCCCTCAAATTGAGGGACAAGTCTCCAAAGGTAGAGATGGATTGGTTAAAATAGATCATCTTTGGATTGCATTGTGTACATGTACATACAAGGCATTCACATGTATCCAAACTATATTGTGGACTATATACTATATACTGGATCTCAACTACATGCTTATTATATTTGTTACCTTAATGTCTGATCTCTTTTTGTTCATGAAGTGTGCCAGAAAGTTTCTAAATATCTTGTTTGAGCATCTAGAAATGGAATTTTTCCTTTTCAGTTGCCTCTCAGGAGCATCTGGAATGGTAGAACAGTGAAACTCATGGACATTCTAGATCCTGATATAACCAAAGGTGAGTAATTATTTTATTTCATTTATTAGACTGTATAAAATGATATACATGTAATGCAATGATTTAATTGCCTCCAAGCTGAATACTGACTTTATTTTTCAGGTCTGACCCTCCCAGTAACAGACCCCAAACCAGGCAGTGCCCACTACCACAAACCTACCAACTCAGTCTGTATCAGATGTCAGGTAGGTGTAGGCACAATATCTTCCAGTTTCAATATAGTATTTCTTCTGGGTACGGAAGTATTGTTTTGGGTGTCTGAGCTGTGGGCTTGTCACAACAGAGAAGGTTGACAAACATCAGTGAGGGGAGATTGACAGGCAAAATGAATCTCATCTCTTTGTTTCTTGTCTGACTAAATGAAATGTACTTCTACATTTATGAAGGTTAGACATCCAGGCAAACTATATTCTACAACTCAACTACAGGATAAATTATCACTCTTCTTCAGCATCACTAAAATGGACTGACAGAACTAGTCAACACATATCACAAGTGAAGGAACTGAAAAACTTATGTACTTTTTTTGTAGGATGGCTGGGTTGGGTTCAGGAGCATCCTTCTGAAGAAGAAACTGAATGCTCAGGAGTTCTACAATGGTTACCTGTCCAGGGAACATCTCAAAGAGAAACTGTTTGAAACCAGCTCTTCAGAGACCAGCTGACAATAAACATTAATACAACACAAATGAAGACACTTATTGACATTCAATCAGTCTAGTTAGAATCAGTCTTAGATAGTGCAAAATGTTGTTATGAATATAGATCTTACATTTTTGTATTTTGACAAAAAAATACACCTGTTGTTGTCACATAATGTGAAAGTCTTGTTGCCAATGTCAATGAGTTGCAATGTAGATGACATGTTGACAGCAGAACATTCTGCCCAAACATGCAGTGATTAAGCATTAAAATGAAAAATAATACACAAATATGAAGATATCAGACCTGCATGAAAGATGAGTTTTTCATTTCTTGTTTTAATCTTTATTGACAGTGGCGGGTGCATAGAATTGAACTATTCCCCGCATGTCTAAAATAGTATCTCTACCACCCAGCTGCCACCCCCTTTACTTGGTGTTTAATGGTTCAGCCCATGTTACATAACCCTACAGTTGTACAGATGTCCTTTCCCCAATGTTACATCAGGCAGATTTAGACGGCTCTCTTCAAGGACAGAAGTCTTTGATATCTGACTCTGGCCTACATTCCAGATCTAAATTGCTGCACGTTACTGTAGTCAGTCCAATTATATCTCATCTGGAAATCACTGCACCAAGTACAGTAGGGGCATTATCATTAGATAGCTTTAGACAATGTTTAGAGTTGGATGTTCAAGGGTTAGGTGTAACAAGTCGTTTGGTGTAATGTAGCCAGCTGCCACCACGCAGCGTGCCTGTGAAGCTGGTGTGTTATACCGGCTATACAGATACAGATACAGTCTGGAGAAAACGAGAAAAATTGGTATCTGTTTAAATGCAAAGTATAGTACAAATACTTTTTTTTGCTCTCTGGCAAAAGGCAACAGGCATGCATATATCAGGAAAATGGCAGGAAATTAGATAACCCTTTTCTGGGACTTTTGACCTAACTTCCTGGCAATGTCCCTCCCAGAAAAAAAAACACGGAAACACACTAAGACACTGAAACCAAAACCTCATACACAAATTTAATTATAATCACAAATGTGATGAGTAAGGTGTTACGGAAAACTGATACTTCACGTTTTTAAACACGTGTCATCAGCCCTTACTGAACTAGTTCGGAGCGGATAGCCTCTATCAGGCTTCGGAAAGTGGCTGCAAAGAGTAGAAATCGGCCAAACAGTGATACCATGCCAGGCAACTGCCAGGGCAGTTGGTCCGCTAAAGGAGTACAGTTTGCCGTCTCGAAAACTGAATGTACCCTTTAGTGGACCAGCTCCCCTGGCATGTTATCTGTCTGGTTGGCCAATTTCTACTCTTTCCAGCCTACCCTGAGGCCGGTTCGAGGCTAGGGTACGCCCCGTGCCAACGTTCAGGAATCCCAACATCGCGATACCCGAGAGGACCTGTGACGTCACCGACCTTCCCGGCCGTCAGTCACAAGACTTCAGCGGGTTAAAAACAAGGACAGAGGCTTACTGCGTTTCTCTTCGATCCCTAAACCTTGTCATAACGTGCTAAAACATCATTCCTCGCGCAGTGTATACAAGAGAGAAGACTGTATCGCGTGGTTCTAGAGGTTTTTCGTGAAACTTCAGGAGACTGGTCCGTCTTTGGGGGGTCGGTGCGCAGCTTCTGACAGTCAACATCAAACGGATATCGACCTCTGTCTTACATGTGTCCAGTTTGTACACACGTCTGCTACAACTCCAACAGAAATGACGTGACCACTCAAGAAGCAACGGTAGGTACCAATGGATCAATGCTACCAGTGACTCACTAGTTTAGATGTCGATCTATGTGTTGGGAAACAGAGGATGGGGCTGACGACGTGACACGTAGATGCTCCTATATTTGGACGGTGACCATGTTACTGTGGTATGGCAGCATGGCTTGCCGATGTAGACAACTGGTAGTAACATAATGTAAACCATGTTTGAAAACCGCGACAATCTTTTCTTCATTTCTTAAGTAAGCCAATGCCATGTAATGACTTTAAGGTTTTAAGATGCGCGGATATGTTGTGATTGCACTATCTATATGAAGAAAATGATCTGAAGCTAAAGTTATGAAATTGGTTGATTATATATTATCATTTGACTTTAAAATGTTACGCGGCATGCAGTTTCAAGGAGAAAATACACGAGAAAGAAACAAGATGGCAATCACTAGCTAGTTCACCACGTATTGTCGCAAAAAATAGCCGTATCGTGTTTTCTTTAATGATTTCTTGATGATCATGAGGTTAGTAATTCAATTACTGTTACAGTATACATCTTTTAATTTATTATCCAGTGTCTTCACGCACTCCAGCTGTTGGAAAATAAAACTATCAATGTAGCTACATGACAACATATACTAAAATCTTATACTAAAGGATGCTAAATACTAATCTCCAAGTAGATGTCTGGCGGCAAAAGCGTTACAGTTACGACTGGCCAACTAGAGAGAGTCCTCAGTGGCTAATGGACACTCCTCTGGCCAATGGATATTGTCTTGCCACCGTAGGATCTGTTTACAAGTAGATTATTTAAATACATTTTATTGCGCAATGACCTAAATACCTAACCTAATAACTGCACACGTGTATAGGAAACAGGCGAAAAATTATTTGCACACTTGTATAGATAAAAGTCAAAAACAATCGCACACTAGCATAGGTAACAGGTAAAAATTTGATTGTACACTTCTATAGATAGGTAGAAGGAAAAAAATTAATTGCACACTTGTATGGGTAAGAGGCAAAAATTAACTGCACACTTGTATAGGTAACAGGCAAAAAATTATTTGCACACTTGCATAGGTAACAGACAAAAAATCAATTGCGCACCTGTATAGGTAACAGGCAAAAATCTTATTGTACACTTCTATGAGTAGCAGGCAAAAATTTGATTGTACACTTAATCTATAGATGTATTGTATGGGGGTAAGAGGCAAAAAAATAATTGTACACTTGTATAGATAACATACAAGAAATTAATTGCACATTTGCATAGGTAACAGAAAAGAACTTGTAAAAAAAATAAAGGAAACATGCAAAAAACTAATTGCACACTTGTATCTATGTACTAGTAACAGGCAAAACTTTCTCCGAGCCCTGCCCTACAGTGAGCCTATAGCTATATCGGTTTGTTGCGATGCTTGCTGTATATTTGGTTACAGCTACAAATAGATTTTCCCTGCTCTCTATGGCCACATGGGTTACCGAGGTCAATAGAATATGCCTGGTATGTTCCCATCATAAGTAATGCACCATATGTTTGTTAAATAAACAAATATATACATTACAACAAGATACTACCTAAAACCCAAATGTATACGATGGACAATCATGAGCTTTTGCCAACTGGTACTATTTCAGTGCATGCACGGTCTTGGTTATTTTGCGCTGGTCAGCATTATCAATTTGCAACAAAACACTTTCAGGGCTCGAAATACTTTTTATGCATATTTGCACTGCATGGTGTAGACAGCATTCAAAATTACCTGCACCGGACAAGTTTTACCTGTATTACTGTCTCCTTCCAGTTTATAAAAGATTAAAATCTTCGATTTCTTGCTATTTATTTAAATTTGTACAAAGAAACCAATTAATGCCCACTACATGGAAATGTTTAATGTTGAACTTCACAATTACATTTTGATTGACATCGTTCTCATATCCTTCAGTTGTGTCCGTTTCTGTGATTGGCTGTGCGTTTGGCATGGCAACGTACGACGATTTGGAGGGCCCTTCGCCCGTCCAGAGGACGACCAAAACGAGGCTGCAGCAGATGGTGTACTCGTCATTCTCCGACTTCCGCAAAGAAAATTTACTGTACGACACAAAACTTGTCGTCGGGGAAGAAGAATTCCGTGCGCACAAGTAAGATTAATTGCTTATGTTATTACAGTTTTTTATTACTCCGTGAAGGAGGTCGTGACCTCCGGACGGAGTATTGTGGGCAGTTGATTTTTCGTGCTCGCAGGTAAAACACACGGTTCCCTTTGTTTAATCGGCATGTAATTTTATATGCCGTCAGCGGGCATGCCCGTGTTGATGGGGGGGGGGGGTTCTTCATGCAGATAAGAGGATGTTTCGTCCACATGTTTAAGGTATGGGGCCGTTTTTGAAACATGTTCGCAGCAAAAACGCTTTGCTCTGTACGTAGTATTTCTGTGTAATTGGGCATGTGGTGTGCCATTATGATAGATGTTTTGTTAATTTTTGACAGAGTTCTCCTAGCAGCTTGCAGCAAGTACTTCTTCAGCCATTTCAAGAACTCCGGAAATGACGTCAACTCCGTTTCCGTCGTGGACTTGACCAAATTCCGGGAGATCACTCCGGAGGGAATCCGGGTCGCCCTGGACTTCATGTACGAGGGGAAACTTCCGGAACCGGGCGACGACAACCTGCAGAAAAAATTCCGGGCTACGAAAGAATTTCTCCGGATTCCACTCTATACGGACTACTGCGACGTGGTCAGCGAAGACGTTCTACGGGATCTGAGAGAATTTGTCCAATATTCCCTCCAGAGTTTCCGTTCGCAAAAGGTTTTCTTCGACATCACGATAAAGACCAAGGGGAAAAAGTTCCGCGCTCACAGAACTCTCCTAGCGGCTTGTAGTCGGTATTTTAGGTCAATGTTTACATTGAACTTCAAGGAGGGAAAAGAACATGAGATAAATTTAGCAGACGTACCGGCACAGGTGTCTATTCGGGCTCTGAAAGACTTGATTGAGCTGATTTACACGGGAGAGATCGACATAAATGTGGACAACTTTGAGGAGCTTTTGACGGCGTCGTTCTTCTTGCAAATGGAGTTTCCACAGGATCTGTGCGCCAAGTTCATCGCGGCTAACATTGACCTTGAAAATTGTGCAGATGTCCTGAGGTTAGCTGAAGGTTACGGGATGGAGGAGGTCATAAAAGCAGCATATTACTTCATGCAGGTAGGTTGACCTAATCAAGAAATTGTGATACTATTGGCTGATAGTTTTATGTTGCATAAGTAGAAGGACGTACTTGCCAACATTTCGGTAGTCCTGATGCTACCATAAAATACTGAACAGTTCTGCTCCAAAGCGTTAGATGGCGCAGCTGTACAGTGTGAAGTTTCAGTCACTGGAAACGTTGACCGTTAAATCTCTTTGATTGCGCAACAGAGAAGAGTATTACCCAGTTATTTCTGAAACTATGCATGTATAAACTACTCAGTACTATTTGAAAAATGCATCACACTTAGCCACTGGTAGGTGGCGCTTTATCTTACCCTATACACTAATGACCTAGGAAAACTACGACGAGCTGTCCCAAACTGACCACTACAAGCGGCTGCCGGATGACCTGGCCGGGCTCCTGGGCTTCCTGCCCCGTAAACAACTGGCCGGCATCGCCTACAGACAGTCCAACTACCAGTCAGCCTTAGGGTCACCCGACGTCGTCTTGTATGAGGACAAGAAATGGAAGTACTACTTAGACTCCAGGTGGGCTGTTATACACAATGCTAAGGCCACAGCAAGTAATTTTTATGGATGACATCAACGCGCGCATTAATTTTCGCCTGATTTTGAAAAACAAAAAGAAATTTTGTTGATCTCTGACGTCTACATCTACAGACGGACCATAAAATTTATTTGCTATATACGTATGCTATGCTTTATGTATATCGATGATTTACGTATAAATTGTGTATATCTTCTATCTAGATGCGTGGCACCAATTTTGATTACGTATTGTTTTGTACAGTAAACATGCGCTGCGTTTAATTTTCTACCTAGTTTTTTTATTGCAAAATATACATTATAATATTATCTATAATTTGCAGGAGTTACCAGCTTGTGCATGTAGCGAATGTTTAAGTTTTGTTCATTGTTATGAAATATGCTGAAGGCTTCCCATTCCTTGCCATTACTAACTTAGCAGTTGGCTCTTGTAATTTTCCCCAGTATATTCCCCAGGTTTACCTCTCTGCCTAAAGAGATCGCCGACACCGCCACGTTTGAAGTAGCCGTGCTGGATAACATCATTTACGTCATCGGGGGGTTCCGCTTCCAGGACAAGAGACGGGATTTTCTCCCGACCAATGAGGTTCGACTTGGGTTTTATCCGAACTTCGATTAACCAATCCTGACGGGTTATTGTAATTAGCTGTTTAACCAATGAGAGAATGGCAATTAGCTGTTCGACCAATGAGGTTCGCTACGCTCACTTGGTGGCTTATTTGGTGGTTATCACACCTGACAAGGGATTATCTCATCATATACACCTCGGGGTGGGCATTAACCCTTTATTAACGTTGTATGGTCTTCCTTCCCAAGGTTCATTGCTACGACTGTGTGTTCCGAGCGTGGAACGAGTGCAGCCCGATGATAAACGAGAGGGACCTGTTTCGCACGGTCGTCGTCGGTAAGTGTCGGAAATTTTCGGCGTACCGAATTGACAGACAGAATGACAGGAGGTCAAAAGATCAGACACAGGAAATGGGGTGAATGTGAAGGTCTCAGAATCTGTCCGGGAGTCAGGAATCAGTGGTCGACATGGGGGGAATTCAGGAAGCCGGGGATCGCATAGTTCCCAGAAATATGAAATCTCCGATTTCTTGGTAACAGATTGAGTTTTCAGTAAACAAATAACAAATGTTGTGTTTTGACTGTTGACTGTTGTGTTTTGACAGGCGGTGAAATCTACGCCATAGGTGGGAGGGGGGCAATAAATAACTACCAGTCCACGGTGGAGCGGTTCAACCCACTGACCTTCACGTGGAAACTGACGGAGCCCCTCCCTCTGGGCGCCAGCGACCACGCCGCCGCAGAATGCTTCGGTACGTACGTCCACTCTATGCAACACTATAGAAATGGTCGTGGTCTCATTCGGGAGATCACGAATATGCAAATGAGTATATGCAAAAATTAGACTCAAATAGAAATGGAGATGGCACCGCAATATAAACGCGCCTGGACATACATATATAACGTATATAGCATGGTCTGTCATTTTATGACCCTTTAATGTTTACGTCTCGGGGGTCATCGCCTTTGACATACACAGTCTTAATTGTGAACTTTCAAATGTCAAAAACAAATGGACAGCGGGTCAATCTCATACCTTTCTGTCCTCCGTTGTAGGTCATATCTTTGTGTCCGGCGACTCGTCCTGTTGGGTGGACGGGATGCCCCGAACACTGTTCTACCATCCCGACACCAGGCAGTGGGACAAGCTGGACGACTTTCCCATCGTGCCTTGCAGGTAAAACCTCAGTCCGCCATCTTGTTTTCTTCTGTGACCTTGATCCAATCAGAACTTCTATTTCTCTTCAAATTTAAGGGTTATTACCAAAGGTCTGCTGCTAATATATATCTATCATAATTATTTACTGAATTTCAAATTTTGCGAAACTTTTGGACGTTCAAAACTCCTCAAACTGATGATACAAAAAAAAACAATCCAATCTTAATAAGGCTGTGCGATAAAGATTAGAGTTCTGACACTTACACCGGTAATATTTTGCTAATTGTGGTCAAACAAATACAATAGACTTAAATCATGTTAATATAATAATGACTAAATATAGAAAACACACTTTTGTGCGCAGGCGTAGTGGGATGGTGGGCCTCGGTGACAAGCTCTACATCATCGGGCTGGAGACCGTGGCCTGTTATGACGTCAGGACCGGGCAGTGCTCCTCATTGGCCAACCTGCCGTCCCCCCAGACGTCATCCTTCTACTTCACCAGCGACTGTATCCTCCGCAACGACATCGTCTGCGCGACCAATAAGGGCGACTGTTACAGCTACGACACGGAGAAGGTCAGTTGTTATCTCTTCGTTTATTGGTCGTTTTTTATTTCAATTTTGTCAAACTATGTCATATTACTAAAAGGGAATACGTTAGTTATAACGTTACTTGCTTTTGGCTTCTTTGCATGAATAGATACTGTTATAAACTATTTCATTGCTGACAATATGTTGTTTTTGTTTATGTTTATTTTTGCCAATAAACAATAAACCACCAAGGACGCGTGGCGGGAGATGGAGAGTTTTCCCGAGATGCAAATCTGCACGCGGGGGGTGATGGTCTTCACGTTCTGGATGGAGACAGACGAGGACTACTTCACAGCGGCACAGCTGGCGGAGGCATAGAGCGCGGGGTTCTCCTGCAAGACAACCGGCACGGTCGGGATTCGTCGTACGTCCTTTGTACGATGGTCGTGCGTCGTTTGTACAATGGTCGTCCGTCGTTTGTACGATGGTCGTACGTCGTTTGATGGTCGAACGTCGTTTGTACGATGGTCGTACGTCGTTTGTACGATGGTCGTCCGTCGTTTGTACGATGGTCGTCCGTCGTTTGTGCGATGGTCGTACGTCAAACTTAACAACCGTTAACACGACAGCTGAATGTTGCACAACATATGTACGAGTTAGCACGACTATCCCAAGAATGTAGTGCGGCGATCGTAAGACGTTGGTGGCCGAGGCCTTAAGTGTAAACCAGATGTGCCCAGATGGAATGATAAAAGGAAATTTACTTTTCAGAATATGCACCTAAGTGTAATAAGATCTACAAAAAGGTAGAACGTTTGTTTGCAATAGTTAGTGATGTTTGTTGTAAAATTTCAGTAGCTCAATAAAATAGATAGATAAATTGAAGAATCAATGTGTACAGGAATGATTTTATGGAATTAACTTAAAGCGATTCACTGGTTCATTTTAAGGTATAATGCCGTATACACTGTTGTTTGTATGTATATACAAAGGATGCAAAGAAACATGTATACAGTGATTTAGATCTGGCAAGTAGATAGAATCTGTAGAAAAATAAAGTCACAGAATTTTGAAAAAGGCATGCTGTTTTTCATTGTGTGTTTATCAACAAGATCACAATGCTTTGCATGCTGGGGTGTAATATTCAAGCATCTCCTCCATGCGCTCATGACTATATTGCACTTTTAACCCACCCACTTTACAACATTTTGAAATCAAAATTGAATCTACTGATAGAAAAAAAATGGACAAAACCAAAACAATTGTCCGTTGTAAATACACAATTCATTTCTAATTTCATTCCTCTGGTCTACAGAAATATTGGCAACTAATGATCAGTTATGATCATTACCAAAACATGAAGCATCATAATAATCTTACCAATAATCATACTCTACACACAAAATATTGGCACGAATAAAAATCCTCATCATTCTTAATTTTCATAATTATCACATTGTCAAGAAAGTTATCAAATGATATGTTTAAGCCCTTGTCATACATAGTGGGCTTCTTCAGACCCTTTCCAGACCATGGTTGGGAGTTAGTCGTAAGCAAGGTCATCTGTAGTCGGGAGTTAGTCGGCGAGGTTGCCTACTAGTCTTCAAAAGTCGTATGCACCAGTTGGCTATAGATTTGGAAAAGTTAAAGTCCAAGAAGCCACGATTAGCTTCGATGCAAGTGTGAAAGAGTCGTGGCAAAGTCGTGGGAAGGTTCCGAATGTGTAAGACTGAACTACAATAAAGTTGCACATAAATGGCATATAGTATACAACACACGATAAGAGAACTCTTAATAATTGATTTCTACTTATCTCTGAAAGGCATAATCTTTACAATAGCTTTTTTAAAGGCTTGTTTGGTAAATGGCTATCATACGCAGATTTCTCACAAATTATCAGCTGTTAACGTATATCTTTATAAGGCAAATCGTTCAATATCATAAACGATAACATTTACAGTATCCATATTTGTTATATACATATGATACATTTACATATATGTCACAGTCGAAAATCTGCACTGTGTTCATCTACAAATAAGATCTTATAAGGTGTTTGGAACTGACGTCACAGCCACCCTGCATGCTGGTTGGTTAGTTAGCTGATTGGTTGGTTGGTCATAGTCACGTGACAGTTAACACCTTATAAGGACCTAACTGGTCTTGATTGTGTCTTAAAACGACACATTTTTTTAGCTTTTCTTAGCAGCATTTCTTTAACATATATATGATATCAAATCACAGTGTCTGATCGACACAGCCGTATCTGTGTCAGTATATGTACTAAAATCACATACACTCAACATTACTTGTAATGATAAAATATAACACGAATAAACAAAGACTATAAAACACCATTCCATATCTGGAAATTTTGTAAAAATGTCTTTTGGCATCTCTCAAGAGGCACGAAGAAAAATTATTTTTCAAAAACGTAGAGATGTGGTGAAACCGTGTGTGACCATAGCTCGCTTCGCCACGCAGTGGCCACAAGGAATATTTTTTACAGCGCAAGCTTGTCCCAAGTACAATTTACACCTCAATTTAATTTTCTACAAAATGTGAACCATACACTAGATGATCATTTTTATAAAATGGCAGAAAAAAACTCGCAATCTTTAGAAAATAATGTGGAAATAGATCATAAATGATGTCTCATCATCATCATCATTATCTTTTCCTTCCTTTTCCTTATATGACATGGTCTTTCCTTTTGTATACTGTTTTCGAGACCTCTCCAGTGTCACTGACGAAAAGTAGTGGCATTATTTGGCCATTTTCTACTTCCCAGCCGCCTCTGCAGCCTGGTAGAGGCTAGAAACACACCTGCTTCACAGGCACGTGGCATAGGCTGAATTTACCACACATCTACATCGACTGACCAATCAGGTCATGAAAACCTATCTACGTCACGATGACGTCATGAGGAACATGGCGTGACTGTGAGCTTGAGGACGCCATGTTTGTGCAGCTGTTGGAGGAGGTTGAACTCTTCAGGCAGCTGGTGGGCCTGCTTCCACTTCATCGTGAACGTCGTCCCTGAGACAACAACAAAAAAATAGAGAAACTCACTCAACCGTGACGGGGGTCGACGTCGTCTACCAGATACATTTGACCCAGTGGTGACGTCACACTTCAAAGAAGCCACACGTGACAAGCCTCACTGGGTCAGTCTACTGAGGAATACCAGAGTGACTGGTCGAAAGCTCCAGGTGAGAGAACTTTATTGTGTTGGATCTAAAGTTTTAACGGTGCAAAACAAAGAAATAGTCACCTTTTTTGTCGTAGTAGTGATATGACAGCGGCGTGTGGTCCGGTGCCACAGAGTAGGGCCAGAACCCGTACAGACGGACCTCTTCACAGAACATGGTGGCCAGGGTATACACTATCATCCCCGTACTCAGTCTTTTGGGTGACAAGCCTTTGGTTTTCCAGAAGCTGCAGAGAATAGAAAACACATAGATATCTCATAGAGTAATACACCATTTGTAGCTCAACATTTTACACGAAATGAAAGAAAAAATATCGATGCGTACTCGCTGAAGTAATTTTCATGACGTTCCCCGGCCAGGCCATTTTACACAGAATGAAAGAAAAAATGTCGGTACGTACTCGCTGAAGTGTTTCATGACGTTCCCCGGCCAGGCCAGGTTCAGTTTGGGGTTGAACTGTCTCTCGTGCTCCAGGAAAAAGTCGGTCAAAGTTCTGGTCACCATGTTGGACCCGTGGAAAGAAAAGGCGGGAATCCAGAGCACGGCTCCCTTCAGTCTCCTCAGCTCGCCCAGAAACCTCGCCCGGTCGTAGATAGTCTGGAGGTTGTTGAAGTATTTCTCCAAGACGCTTGGGTTGAAGGTGGTGAAGTTCGTCTTGGAGCCGACGTGCGATTTGTACTTGTCGATCGGCGCGAAGTTGCAGCGGAACACGAAGTCGGCTCGGTCGATCTCGTTCCCACAGTAGCTGTTGCTAAGGATACCGCCGCTGCCCACCACTGCGCAGGCGTTGTAGTGTTTGTTCTGAAATGGCGATTCCTGTGAAGAAACAGACATGTTTAGAAACTGGCAGAAGCTTCCTGTCGTTTCGTGTATTTCTATGCACTGCTTAAGCTACTTGAAAAAGTATCATGCTTCACCTTTAATCATTATCGGAGGATAATTGCTTACATGTTTAGAGTTAAAACTTTAGATCCAACACAAAAAGTTCTCTCAACTAGAGATCTGGCATGGTAGACGATGTCACTTAACCGCGACGGGGGCCGACATCGTCTACCAGATACAATTGACCCAGTGTTGACGTCACACTTCAAAGAAGCCACGTGACAAGCCTCACTGGGTCAGTCTACTGAGGAAGATCAGAGTGTCTGGTCGAAAGCACTAGAGAACTTTTTGTGTAGGATCTAAAGTTTTAACTCAAACATGTAACTACCAACAGTAACACAGATTAACTTTCATGACAATTGCTTACATTAGCTCTTCCCTGTATGGGCTCACTACGAGGATCTACGATCGCGATGCAGTTTCTACAATTTCCTACAGATGGCGCTAGTAAACGGTCCTTACTTACCTCCGGTATGAGAGAGTAGAGACTGGCGCTGATGGGGAAGACGTACTTCTGCTCCGAGTAGTCAAAGTGCATGACCTGACCCACTCTGACCTCTGACCTCACTAGTGAGATGTTCCGTTCGGCGTCCACGAATTGTTCGATATCGGCTCTGGATAACAATAGATCGAATATCGATAAATCGTTATTAATCAAATATCACATAAGAGAATTTTCCAAAATTCAAGAAAAAGGGAAATATTGCATTAATGAAAAAGAAATCCTTACAGTCAATGAACTTTAATATCAACACAGTACATTATGAGTGGGAAAGTGTTTCTATTTATACAATAACAAAGATGAATTTTTGTTTTATTTCCGCAGCGTTCAGAATGTCTCAACATCAACAGAATTATTCCGATGCCTTCCTGTCCTAGACCCCAGGATTCGTAATGCATCCTGGGGATGGGAAACTCGTGAATAAGCTGGCTTACTGTTCCACTACGCACGCTTTGCATTGTGGGTAGTATGCCAAACGTTGGAGGTCCCTTCGACATAAATTACAACACCATATATGGACATGGTTTTAAGGATGGTCCAGAACAGAACTGCTTAGACAGAAGCCTTCACCTTTCTCCTACGCCCACTGTCACATGTAGGTGGTACTCAGGTACTTCAGAACAACTAATGACATCTCTAAATTTGAGCTGCGTATTCACTATAGCCTCGGGTATATCCATCCTGGCTCCAGTCTGCTTTGATAATCGCTTCCCTGCCTGCACCAATCATTATTTCAACGTTAGATCCTCTATACATAGACTATTCGAAAGAAAAGCGATCTGAGGAATAGAGACACCGGTCACCAGCTTCGGGCAATTCTCCTGCAGTCTCTTAGTGTCACTGACGAACTTACCGGTAGTGGATGCTATATCAAACGTCTGACCGTTTCCAAAATCATATCCAGTTGCTTGAGTAACTACTTTTTGGCGTATGGCTTCGGGTATCTGTCATACTAGTATTCTGTTCGCTTCTATGATCGCTTCCCTGTCCGAACCCAAACTTCATCTAAAGGTTAGATTCTCAATCGAATTGGCGTGGAAGTGATATGAATTCTGAGCAGTAAATCAGAGCTAGTATTTTTTTTCAAACTTTATTAATATTCACAATGTTACATTAAAAAGAGGTACATAGTTGACATACATGTACAGCCGTGTGGGATGATACATAACAATCAAGGACAGTTTTTTTTAAAGGTAACGTTATCCGGGGATTGTCTATATATAATGATATCACATAAAATGTTCCCATTGTTCATTGTGTTCTACTTCTATAATTTGATTTAGTCTGTGTTTGAAAATTGAGAGTTTTGGTTTGCAATTTGTTATGAAGCATGTGTATATACAATATTTAGCGGTAAGGAGACAGTGTGCAAGTGCACTAACATGGCGAGGGTTGTCAATTATACCGTAAATAATCATCTTCTCGTCTGCGATTAGGTCTTCTTTGGTACATCGTTTCCACCAGTAACAGAACTCTTCAGAGTTAGTATGCCAAAAAGCAGTTACTCAAGCAACCGGATATGATTTGGGAAACGGTCAATCCAATCAGTCACTGACGAAAGCTAGTGGATACTAGCTGAAACGTCTGACCGTTTCCAAAATCATATCCAGTTGCTTGAGTAACTGCATTTCGGCGTATCGTATTACCTGGATGTCTAACCCTCATCGACAGAGCTAGTATAGGATATACCAGGCTACTATCGGCCTTCCTTTCAAGTCAGAATGTTATTACATACGCGGCCCTGGAGATAATCAGTTTACTCGTACCAGGCAGAGACTGCACTAATCCAGTCTAGAGAGCACACACGAAGTAACCTCCACACCTTTCCCTGCTGTACCTTATATAGCCGTGAAGAATTCTAACTGACTGGTTTCAACATATGAATAGAAGAGCGCAGTCACGAAGCATGCTAAGGAGACGAATGGGAGCCCATCGACGTAACACGCTGCCACTAGCATGGCAGCCATTTTTGGCATTTAGTAGCGCCAGCTTTATAAAACTGTATTACGTTTCGATTAAAAGACTTCCTTTTTAAGGTATGGGTGTTTGAATGTATAAAATGAATGGGCAATGATAATGATTGCAAGAGAAGAGTTAATGTCCAAATTTTGGAGCTGATATTCAGGTGGCAAATGGATACTTCCCTTACAATTTAATAGTCTTGCAGTCACCAAAAGATCTGTTCGGAAATGATGTAAACTGTATGTTATGTTATGTGTATGTTACATATTTTGTCTACCCCTTACCTCTTCCCTCATGACCCCAACAAAGATTGACATTTTCATGAATAAAGAGTTAAAAATAGAAAGGTAACATTTGCAAAGCAAATGTATAATGTTTACCTTAATTCGCATAGGTCTGCTCTGTTAATTCTTACTCAAATACATTCATAATGGTCAGACAGGAGTCTAAATCCCTCCTGCTATAAACTTGCAACATGTAACCCAACACCAGTTACCATGGTGACAGACGTCTGGTTCCAGGTCATAGACCTTTTTGGTTTGTAGAAGAAGAAGAAGAGGAAACAGAGCAAAAACCATATATTTTCCTTCGGTAAATATAATTACCTTCTGACATGAATGTGCAAGTAAAGTTTGATGATCACAAACCTGTGCATGTTGAGGGCTGTCTGGTTGACTGTCCAGTCCAGGTCAGTCGGCACGGTGGGAACACTGATAGTGCTCACAGGGGGGAGGGGAGGGTCCATGAACCCAAGCGCAAACTGCGACCTGCAGGTCAAAACAAAAGACAGCAAATTGAGTTATTGATATGCTGCACACATACAATCAACAAATGCATAAAAAGCCCACTGCAGTACCGTTGCAAAACGCCAGGTGGACAATTTTCTATCTTGACCTTTCTTTTTACAATAGCTACTTATACCAAATATATTAAAAAGATCCATCCACAAGTTATGCTGTTGACATACATACAGACCACACCACACCCACTCACCATGGCCAAACCAAAACCATACCCTTCTGACGAAGGCAATTACGTACCAACTGTTCCAATTCAAATCAAATTTCGCTTGTGCAGCTAATGATGCCCATAGTGTATGTAGTATATTTAGATGTAAACTAACCACTGATACACTCATCTTTTGAATCTATCAAATTCTTCAGACACTGCAAACTACTAGAATTGCCTGGTCTAAAACGGGGTATTGTGATCAGACTGTAGGGCAGGTATAAAATGTAATTACTTGTGGCTTCGTGACAGGAGAACAAAGGGTCTGCATGCAGTTTCCGTGATGCGTGGCGAGCTCCTTTTATTCGCCGTTAATTGAAGCCGGCCCGCATTAATTCACGTTGTCGTGGTTTCTTTAATTACATACGTACGTAGTAAGTTTGTTATCCAGAATTCACTTTAGAATTCATCGCTAAGCGTTATTGACAAATTAAGGTCAGACACAGGAAATGGGGCGAGCTTCAAAGTCACAAAAATCCCAAATACTTTCAGGACGTCTGAAATCTCCAATTTCTTGTTACCCTAAATGTACCGATAAGTGTTGCCAGAACCCCCAAACAGACCCTAAATGTACCTATAAGTGTTGCCAGAACCCCCATACAGACCCTCAGAAGATAATACGGTTCTTCAGTTGCAAACTTCAATGGAGTTTCACTCTTTGAATTCGGAACACGTCGTGACAACTCACTTCAGTATAGTACCTTCCTCAAAGGAGACTAAGAGCCTGGACACTAAAAGGAACCTAGTTGTACAAAGAAGTGTTTGAGGTTCTCGGAACTAACGATGGGAATACCAGGAAATGGCTACTAGGGTTCTTTGCACCTGCGATAATCTTGATTTTTTTTTGTTTACCTTTCATACCCGCTATAGTGGTGGGTGTAATTCCTGATTTTTTCACTGTACTGTTGTTTTCACTGTTTTCACTGTCTTTTCTGTATCGTGAACTTATCATTACAGTTGTGAACTTATCATTACAGTTAACAAATGATTCTTGGACTCTATTTTTCCTGCACCTGAATCTATAGTGAATATATAGTTCCGTGAACATGTCCAATTTTCTCAGACCGTGAAATTTTGCTACCGTGAACATAAAGGGAATTACAGTAACTATCTACATACGATATATTTAAATGTAATGACTAAAAAAATATTGAGTGCTGTAACTTCTATATCTATTTGAAGGACGTGCTAAGTGTGCTTACTACTTTTGATGTAAGATTTTTATAAGTTGTTTATTGCAAATTCCTGCCCGAGTGCTAATTGCATACAGACATTGACAAGAAAATGTGGTGATACATGTATAAGACTATTTGCTAACAGGAACTTCTACGTGTACGATATACTTATCGAACCTACTATCTCTACTTAAATCTAACAACGTTAATATACATACAGGAACCCTTTATAAGATGTCATAAGATTTTAAAATTGTTATCATTATGTATTGAAAGCATCCTCTAAGTCTGCGTAAAAGAGGCTTGATCCTAGAGATCTGTCCTTCAGGAGTCCTCAAGGTCGTGTTTAAGTCCCGTGTTGGGGGGAAATGGGGCATCTCGGCTCAATCGGAAGCAATTTGCAGATAGGCAGGCTGTGTTGTGATTGAAATGTGTGAGCAGTGATTACAGTCCTACCGGGAGACCCGCTAATGTCAATCAGAAGTCACTAAGAAAGTCTCTGCATGATTGTCAATCCTGTCGCCTGCTCAGGAGAGGGTCGTTCTAGGGAGTCATTGTAGGCTTATTGGATGGACAATTTGGGGAAGGGAGGGGGGGCTTGGAGGGAAAGGGAACCTCAGTGTGGGTGTATGAAACCGTCGCTAAGGCGGGGGCGTTAGGCAAAGCGGGTAGCCTCCACCAGGCCTTCCTACGGGAATACGGATCGAAGCGTTCGGCAAAAAAGGAGAGTAAAACTGGCCAGGCGAGACAGTCCGCGGAAGCTTGATGCTTTCCCTCAAACCCCAAGGCCGCCAAACTCCCCTGGCAAATATTCTCCCTTCATATAACCAGCATAGTTAGTCTGATAGAGACTAATATATAGCGGAGACAAATAATGAACTCATGGGGTCTCCCTTCGTTTGTAATCCAGCACCGGAACAATCGGCAGTAGCGAAGGTAGCTTCATGGCTTTCTGTGATCGTCAGAAATGATACCAGATCTCAGGTTTTCTATTGTGAACGTTATTCAGCACCAAGGACAGGGTATATTAGTCCATACTACATACAGGACTGATCAATAGAAATCATTCAGCAAAAGTGTATCTCTCTCATTCTCTAGTCTTTTTCTCATTGGTTCCAACAGGGATAGTGTGAGTGCTTTTTCAGCACCAAGGACGTCAGAACCTATTGTCAGTATAGGCTATTACACTACATACAGGACTGATCAATAGACGTTATTCAGTACAAGTGTCTCTCTCTTTTTTCTAGTTCTCCTATTGATACAATGGTGTTCGTGTGGACGTAAATTCAGCACCAAGGACAGGGAATATTCTGCACTACATACTAGAGTGATCAATGTAGGTTATTTAGTACAACTCTCTTTTTAGTACAACTCTCTCTCTCTCTTTCTCTCTCTCTCTGTCTGTCTGTCTCTCTCTCTGTCTCTCTCCCTCTCTCTTTCTATCTCTCTAGATGATCTGGATATGTCCTGGCTTCCTTTTGACTGAATCTTAAATGTCAAATTAGAAACGTTTTGAGTGAATCAACGGTGGCAGAATGTCACATAATGTTGAACCGCACATTGGTATTTCGAAAAGTCTGGGTTCAGTCAGTGTATATGTAACACGAACTACCCAGGATTTTATACACCTGTCACACATAGCCGAATATGGCCTCTAGAACTCTGAGTAAGAGGAAATCTGTCTGATACTGACAGTTACTACCACCTCTTAGCACATTTTCGTCATCCTTTCGTACTTGAAGTGTTTGAGACGGATTGTGTGGCGTCTCTTTTTTTTTTGGGGGGGGGGGTACCGCAAGAACCAGTCTACAATACAAAGAAACAAACAACATTTTTCCATCAGTGATATCACATTTTTGCCTCACATATATCAGTATGCTATGGGATAGGGTTGCTTCAACGTATTACATAAAGACCAAGCAGTACATCTTAATTCCTGCTTTCATGCCTGATGTCTACGATACAAAACAAGCAACAGTTTACTGTCAGTGACATCACATTTTGCCTCACAGATATCAGTATGCTAAGGGATCCGGACAGAATTGCTTCAACATACTACACTACGACCTAGCAGTATTTTTTTTTCTTTTTTTTTTTTCAACCTTTATTTAACCTTGAAATGTACAGTACATGTTGGTATCAGTACAACTCTTCGGCCTAAGCCGTTTTTCAAGAGGTCAAGGGGAGGTAGTATACATCTTAATTCCTGCTTTCATGCCTGATGTCTACGATACAAAACAAGCAACAGTTTTCCGTCAGTGACATCGCATTTTTGCCTCACAGATATCAGTATGCTATGGGATAGGGGATTTCTTGAACATACTACACTAAGACCTAGAAGTACATCCTAGTTTCTGCTCTTATGCCTGATCTGTATCTGTATCTGTATAGCCGGTATAACCGCCCTTCGGCGTAACACACACGCGGTGCGGCGGCAGCTAGCTATATCACACCGAACAACTTGTTGCACTCGATCTTTGTACATTTAATTGCAGGAGTTGTTTAAAGCTTTCTAGTGATGATGCCCCTACTGTGCTTGGTGACAACGAGTTTCACTCTACGATAGTTCTTGAGAAAATACGAGTTTTTGAACACCTCAATTCTTGGTTGATAACTCTGATGTACTTGAAGGCATTACTGTTTCTTGTTCTTTTCTGGGCTGGTATCAGATGCTTAATGATTATACGTCCACCAGTTTATTAGTCATTTTGTACATCATGCACAGTCTGGACATTCTTCAGTGACATCGCATTTTTGCCTCACAGATATCAGAATGCTATGTGATAGGAATGCTTCATTATACTACACTAAGACCTAGCATCTTAGTTTCTGCTCTTATGCCTGATGACAGTTCTTCAAGCGCGGTGCCAACACAAGGTACCAGAATAGATCTTATGTTTGGCTGAGCCATCCATTTACGGGCAATGTTATGTCGCGTCTCGTCACTGTAATTATGCTCCTGGTAGTTGTTGAGCTCTGAGTTAAAATCTAGCAGCGCCGTTAGACTTAAAAGGAAACAGCTTCGTCTGCTAACAAGACAACTGGCTCTGATTCAAAATCAGTAATACCGCATGCCAGGCGGAAAAAGAAATAACTACGTCTTCTAATAACGTAGACTATTGGCTCTGATTCAAACTGCTGTCAGATAATGTGTTAATCAACGAAGTGTGTAACACGACCGATATGAAATACAGTACCTGAATACCTATGGCGTTGGTTTCTATTTCAGATGCTTCACGCGTAATTTCGTGTTTTGAAGATGCTCTACCTACTTTGTCACTATCTCAAAACCGGTAGAAAACGTTTGGCATGCACTGGATAGGCCAACAGGTACGTAGATAGTAGTCTTTACTAGGCTTCAGAAGCGGCTGGAAAGAGTAGAACTAGAAATTAGATAGACAGATAGACAAATAATATGGCAGGGGAGTACAGTTTGCTGCTCTGTCCTACTGGGCGGCTACCAGGCTGGAACATAAAGCTTTAAATGTGTATGTAGAAGTCGACACGCACACATATCAGAGAATTGTAAACCTCCAGTCTTTTACAATCACATAAACATAACGAAGTATGCAGCGAAACATTTT